CTCCTGCATCAAAATTTCTCCTAGTTATCCATTTATGTATCATCAAACATTTTCTACAACCCTTTAAAGATTATTGGGTTATATATTCATCAGTCTGGAAAGAAATACTCCATATTAGCTTATTAGCTTTCCCATAGTTACATGCTGTAATGCCCTTAGAATCTAGATTTTTTAATTCAAAATATTACATTTAGTACATTCTACTATTGTGACAAGAGTTAATCTAGTCTATATACCCTCAATTTAGAAGTATCTGGTCCAACATTTGTTTGTATGTTTCCTGAGGAAAAAGCCAAAAATGAGTTGTTGTTAAGAGTACATGATTTTCCTTCCAGATATCACTTTGTTTTATTATCTTGGGTGCTTTATTCAAAAGGGACTTAAGATTTTAATCTAAGTAAGTAGAGCCAAATTCAGTTTGGAAAGATTGTCAACAGCGAATTAGATCATACATCATCAGATCATCACTGCTACAATTAAAGTTCAGGAAGATTAGATAATGTACTTGGTGAAATGCTTAGTAAATACCAAGTGAAAAGTACTCACTAATTACATAGAAGTACTTATTAAAGTACCTACCAAATTAAAAGTAGATCTATCATATGATCCAGCAATCCCACTTCTGGGTATATATCCAGAGGAAATACAAGCAGAATCCTGAAGAGGTACCTGCATTCTTGTGTTTGCTGCGGCGTTTTTCACAGTAGCCAAGATGTGGAGGCAACTGAGTGTCCATCAGTGGATGAAAGGATAGAGGAGAAGTGGTATATACGTGCCATGGGATGCTATTCAACCATAAAAACCTTCGTGACAACATGGATGGACCTTGAGGGCATTATGCTACGTGAAATTAGTCAGAGAAAGACACATACTGTGTGATCTCACTTGTATACAGACTCTAAATAAGTAGAACTCATTGAAACAGAGTTGAGTGGTGGTTACCAGGGGCTGGGGGTGGGGGAACTGGGGAGATGATGGTCAAAGGGTACCATCTTCTAGTTATAGGATGCAAATAAGTTCTGGGGATCTAACATACAGCACGGTGACTACAGTTAACAATATTTTCTTATATACTTGAAAGTTGCTGAGAATAGATCATAAATGTTCTCACCACAAAACAAGAAAAATGTCTATTATTTCAGGTGAGAGATGTATTACCCACCTTACTATGGTGATCACTTTGCAATACATACATGTTTCAAATCACTATATTGTACACCTTAAACTTACACAATGTTATATGTTAATTATATTTCAATAAAGTTGGAAAAAATAATAAAATTGTTAAAATGATAAATAAATACTACTAAAAAGTTTTTAAAAGAAGACAACAGGGTAAAAGACTGATCACTGCTGGCCTCCTAGTGAATGTGTGTTCCCTTAAGCCTATCTTTCTATCAACAAAGAGCTTGGAGATCATGTAAGATGTAAGGTATGTTATGTAAGCTGATCTGACACACTCTTCTGTTCCTTAAGTCCAACCAGGACCACAGTGTACTTCTGACAGACTGGGTGTCTTGATATCATACTATGTATTAATTCAACAATCACTGGCTATCTTAGGTATAAGACATAATGATAATAATACTTCAAATTGCACCAAAGAGAAGATCTGCATCCAGAATAATTTCAATCTGAACCTAATCTAAATGATTAGTGGATGCTGTTGGTGCCTATAGGATCGCTTTCACTGAGCTCGGACACCCTTCCCCAAACTGCTATGAGTGTTGGCTGTTTAGAGAGAAAAACAAAAGTGAAAACACAATGAGGCACAGAGAAAGGAGTTTTAAGAGAGAAGTTTATAGTAACACACGCTTACCTCAGGAAACAAGAAAAATCTCAAATAAATAACCTAACCTTACAAAGTTAGTAGAGGGTAAGAAATCATATCACAGCAGAAATAAATTCGACAGTGACTTTAAAAAAAAAAAACAGAAAAGGTCAATGAAACTAAAAGCCTGTTCTTTAAAAAGATAAAATTGATAAACCTTTCGCCAGATTCATCAAAAAAGGGGGGCGGGAGGGACCAAATCAATAAAATCAGAAATGAAAAAGGAAAAGTTACAACTGACATCACAGGAATACAAAGGATCATAAGAGGTTACTATGATCAACTATATGCCAATAAAATAGATAACCTAGAAGAAATGGACAAATTCTTAGGAAGTCATCATCTACCAAGATTGGACCAGGAAGAAATAGAAAATGTGTACAGACAAATTAGGAGCACTGAAATTGAATCAGGAATTCTAAAACTCCCAACAAACAAAGTCCAGGACCAGATGGCTTCACAGGTGAATTCTACCAAACATTTAGAGAAGAGTTAACACCTTTCCTTCTGAAGCTATTCCAAAAAATTGCAGAGGAAGGAACACTTACAAACTCGTTCTATGAGGGCACCATCATCCTGATACCAAAACCAGACAAAGATATCACAAAAAGGGAAAATCACAGGCCAGTATCACTGATGAACATACATGCAAAAATCCTCAATAAAATTCTAGCAAACCGACTCCAACAATACACTAAAAGAATCATACATGAGGATCAAATGGGATTTATCTCAGAGATGCAAGGATTTTTCAATATCTACAAATCAATCAAAGTAATACAGTAATCAAAACAGTATGGCACTGTTATAAAAACAGACACATAGGTAAATAGAACAGAATAAGAGCTCAGAAATAAACCCATGTACTTACGGCCAACTAATGTATGACAAAGGAGGTAAGAATATATAATATTGAAAAGACTGTCTTTTCTCTGAGCAGAGCTGGGGAAAACTGGACAGCTACATGTAAAAGAATGAAATTGGAACATTTTCTAATACCATATACAAAAATAAACTCAGAATGGATTAAAGAGCTAAATGTAAGGCCTGAAACCAATAAAACTCCTAGAATGAAACATAGACAGAACAATCTTTGACATAAGTTGTAGCAATATTTTTTTGGATCTGCCGCCTCAGGCAAAGGAAACAAAAGCAAAAATAAACAAGTGGGATCTAATTAAACCTAAAAGCTTTTGCACAGCAAAGGAAACCACTGACAAAGCAAAAAGACAACTTACAGAATGGGAAAAAATATTTTCAAATGATATGACTGATAAGGGGCTAATATCCAAAATATATAAATAGCTTAAACAACTCAACATCAAAAACCCAAGCACCTCAATTAAAAAATGGGCAGAAGACCTGAAAAGACATTTTTCCAAAGAAGAAATACAGATGGCCAACAGGCAAACGAAAAAATGCTCAACATCATTAATCATCATAGAAATGCAAATGAAAACCACAAGGAGAGATCAGCTCACTATCATCAGAAAGAACACAAATAACCAAAGACGGCAACAATGTGGAGGAAAGGGAACCCTCCTACAGTGTTGGTGGGAATGTAAATTGGTAAAGTGGTGGAGCTACTTTGAAAACAGTATGGAGGTTTCTCAAAAACCTACAAATAGACCTACCATGTGACCCAGCAATTTGGCTATATATCCTTGGTACATAGCCAAAAAACAAAAACAAAAACACTAATTCAAAAAGACACATGCACCCTAATATCCCTAGCAGCATTATTTACAATTGCCAAGATGTGGAAGCAACCTAAGTGTCCATCAACAGATAAATTGATAAAGAAGATGTGGTGTATGTATGTGTATGTGTGTGTATACATACATATATATATAATGGAATACTACTCAGTTATAAAAAGGAATAAAAATTTGCCATTTGCAACATGGATGGACTTGGAGAGTATTATCCTCAGTGAAATAAGTTAGAGAAAGACAAACACTGTATGATATCAGTTATACGTGGAATCTAAAAAATAAAACAAACCAGTGGATATAGCAAAAAAGAAAACAGACTCATGGATATAGAGAACAAACTAGTGGTTACCAGTGGGCAGAGGGACAAGGGAAGGGGCAAGATAGGGGTAGGTAATTAGGAGGTACAAACTACTATGTATAAAATAAATGAGCTGCAAGGATATATTGTATAGCACAGAATATAGCCCACGTTTTATAATACCCATAAATTGACAACAACTTTTAAAAATTATGAACCACCATGTTGTGTACCTGTAACATTTAATGCTGTACATCAACTAGACCTCAATTTTTAAAAAACAGAATAGATATATATCAGAAAGAAAAAAATCAGGAATAATATTTTTCTCAGGGCCTAATTCAACAACAATAAAAGCAAATTAAACAAATTAATCCTATAATTAGCTACTGCTGCTACTGTCCTAACTAATCCTTCTTTTCACTTCCAGGTGGACCACAGAAAATTGCTCTTAGGCAGAGGGGAAAAATACATATCAACATCTTGACACTTCATTCTTCATCCTTGGTAGAGGTGATACCACACAGCTGTAAGTGGTTGAGGCAACCAGAATAATGAGAACTCTCTGCAAAATCCACACAGGAACAGAGAGCCAGGAGGGCTGCCTTGGTGGCTAGAGACGCCCCCTCCAGCTGCGCTGCGCTGGGCTTTTGCCTTTTCTGACCTGATAAAAGGTGCAGAGCGTCCTGATCTACCACTAGCGCTTCCCGCCGTGATGAATACAAAATAAATACTCCGCATCAATGTAGTCCCCATTAAACAAGCACAAAAAGGTATTGGACCAAGGTATGCTGAAGTCCAAAGTCTGCCGTCTAAAATACACCTTTACCTGCAGTCAAAGGATGACTAACACACAATCAGGATGTTTCATTATTCTCAAAGGCCAGAATTTGAAAAGTAGGGTAATTAACGATGTTCGATTTACAGTTTCCCAGTGGACGTCTTCAGTTCGTTAGCATCTTGATTTTTAAAAATCAACAACAAAAAACCCGTAAATAGCAATCATTCATGCAGAAAACTGACCAATTTGAATGAATGAACTACAGGTTCAGTCTATTTCTTAATAAATGAGGAGGACTGAAGTCTCTCTAAATGTAAACGGTCATTATTTTAAAACCGCTAATCACATCCTCAAAAGAGCGAAACGCAGTCTCACCGCCAGGCACGCTGTACCACGCGGCGCCATTGGTGGTTCCCTCCACGAAGCTGCTGTCGTCATCATTCTTGCGACACGGGGGCCGGTCCGGGTCCGACATCGGGGGGTTAAAGGACGAGTACGCCCGCGCCAGGCTCTGGAAGATGTCGTCATCGGGGCAGGAGCTATACTCATGGGCACTGCCTAGAAATAATAAACCCACAAGCTGAAGATCTAACCTGTTCTCAGAAACAACATTTAGTACATATACGTAAACTTTAAAAACAAAAAAGTGCAGTATACAGTATATATGTATTTATGTGCAATATATTGTGTATGTCGAGTCAAACTATAATAAAAAAAATTTTAATGAAGAAAAAGAAAATAAACCCACAAGACTAAAGAAATTGAGCCAGACTAAGGAGCACTGCATGTTTTCTGAAGAGTGATTTAGTGCTATCTCTTGCTGATGTATTTTTTAGCTACATCACTATACAAAAGGAGTGAATGTCTAAGTACTCAACAATTAAGTTTTAGGTTATTTAACATCCACTCCTAATATCACAAAGTAGAAATTGGGTAGAATGTACATTCTACTTATGAATGGGAAGCCTCACAAGAAAAGGTGGCAAGCTCATGGTAAACTGGACCTGGGAAGGCAGTAAGGAGGGTTTCATTGTTAGCTCTTAATTTTAAAAATGTACCTGTACCCCCCCCCAAAAAAGGACAATGGTTTACAAATTATCAAAAAAATGTTTTTAATGGACCTGGACCAACCTCATAGGCACTATGAACCACTCTCACACATGATTCTCAGTATGAGTTTAGAGTTTTAAAAGTCTCCCATGTGCATTACTGAAATACATAATATCTATTTTGATATATGGTATTCTTATTCTGTATTGCAAAATATGCCAGTCTTTTAAATTTCCCAGCTATTGACAAACCATAAAATCTCCAAACTTTAAGGACGTTTTACCAAAGACTCTTCAAAATTCAAAGTTTCCAATACCTAAAAAGTATTATCCTGTGTTTACAAAGACCTAACTCTTCCAAGGCCCCTGAGAATTGATCCAAAGCAGGAAATTTCCTGAAGCAATAGCAATTAAGCTGAAAATATCTATCTGGTTAAAGTTTTCCGTGCCTGAAGCTTCACTGAACCTAATTAAAGAAAACCAACCGTCACTGCCCCTCCCTGACACCACCAAGAAACAAGTTCCAAATGCAAAAGTGTGAGTGCAGAAGACACACACAGAGATATAAATGGGCCCCGATCAGGCACCAAAAGGCTGCCTCCACTTTTAAGCCATCTTGTACACAAACCTATATAAATTCTATTATTTTTCCATTTTACTAGGGGCCAAGACTGACCCAAGTTCACGACTTCTGTTTTCTCCCTTTTTCTTATCTAAGTATTCTTCAAGATCACATTTCTCTTCAACTAAACTTTTTCAAAAGTTACAGTCTTTTCCTGCCAGATATATATGCCAATGCCACACTGCATAGTTAGGGGATGTTCCTGTTCAGCGGATGTATTTTTACAGGCAAAATCACTTACTGGCGAGTCCCATAAAAGAATATTATAGAAATCATCCAATAAACCCTCATAAAGTAATTGTAAACCTTGAACCAATTAGAGAAGCAGGAAGAATACCTACCACTCCGCGTCTCATCATATGGGTAATTGGCCACGAGGTCTCCTCCATGCAGATTGGCCGAGAGCACAAAAGGAATATCCATAATCCAATGAATGACAGCCTTGGTCTCAGGAGCAAGCTGTATTAAAGATTAGAGATTAAAAGGATTATAAACGTGGCAATCATTGGTGGAATCACTCGACAGAAAAGACACAGAAAAGGTGAAAACAAGAACAAAAACCAACAACTGAAAGCTGGTCATATTCCAAGCATTTTGTGACTGTTTTCTTAGGAAGAAAAAAAGAAAGTGCAGTATTCCCCATGTCTATCTTTCTCAAACTTATAATAAAAAAAATTTCAATAGTGTTTATATTTCCTTAAAAGTTCTACTTTTATGGGCTGCCAGCTTTTCTTTCTTTGTAACTTGAAAACTTGCATACATATCATTTACAAATTTGGGGACATCTCCATCTGATCTTTGTTCATAATAACTAAGGATAAAACAAGGAGAAAAGAAAATAGTTGAACCACAGAAGAGGGTTCTTTCTTTATGGTGGTTCAACTCTAGAAACATGTGGTCGATTTTATTTCCAACTTTTGCTTACTATTTTTCCAATTCCCTTCAACTACTTCAAACATTGTTCCTATAAAAAAATTAAATTGGGTCTCTTTCAGATTTCACTGTCAAATATCAGTTTACTTTGGGATGGTCATCTTAAATTTTAAAACAAAGGCAAAAGTTTCAGGAATTCATGCTGTCTTTTGAATGATTCATAGCCCCTCGTAACTTGGAAATGAAACAAAGGAGGAAAGAAATTTATACCAAAGCATTAAGCTGAGCCAAAAGCTTGATATTTTTATGTGATGAGTTTTTAATACCAACTAAGAAGGTTCTCAAACTCCCAAGTACCTCTTTTATTTATTTATTTATTTTTAACGCTGTTACTGGATATGAGATTGACATTGTTCTTTGGGACAGAAAATCTAAGAGCATCAGTGGGGTTTGATGATTATAATCAGACTTTGTATCTGCATGTCTCTGTTCAGTAAACGGATAGCTTCTGCATACACTATTTTATTGAGCTTCACAGCATCCTCACTGGATAGGCAAAGATATCCATCCCCACTTTGAAGGGGTGAATCTGAGGGTTGGGGAGTTAATGACAAGTTCACACACTTAAGATTCAAACTCAGTCTGTGAAACTATAAACTCCACGTGATTTTCAGTATGTCAGGTTTAATGTATCAAAACCATACTATTTTTCATGTAGGTTACTCACAATTGTGGAGAAGTGTAATTTAGAATACGGCATTGTCTTCATTATTTGTTTGATTGGTTTATCTTATTCTCACTATGAAAGATGTTCATTGTCAAAAATGTAGAGGAAATTAACATTACCCATAATTTTACCATGTAAAGATATCCACTCGCTAACATTTCATATCTCTTTCTCAGTCTTTTTCCAATGCACTTATGTAATTTTTCAAATGTGCTCATTTATATACCATTTTGTATACTACCTTTTTTGCTTGACAACAGATAACACTTCTTCATGTCACTGAATATCCTTCTAAATTATTATTTTTATGGCTGAGTAGTATTCAATGTATGGTGTTGAATGTATGATAAATATTCAATGTTCATTTTTAAACATGAATAAAGTAACAGCTAATATTATTAAACACTTTCTGGTGACACATGGAATTTTCACATCTACCTTATGAGATAGGGACTGCACATACCCCCAGTTTAGAGATGTGTAAACTGAGACACAGAGGAGTCAGGGAATAGCATGAGGCCACGCTGTTGGGAGCAGTCTAGCTGAGAGCCACTCCGCAAGCACTAGGAATCTCCAGTTGGTGGGAAGAGAGGGGGAAATGGGAAAATGTTGGTCAGAGGGTATAAACCTTTAGTTTTAGAACGAATTAGTTCTAAGGATCTAATGAATCCCCAGATGACTTAATAATACTGTATTGTGTACTTGAAATTTGCTAAGAGAACAGATCACAAGTGTTCTCACCACTAAAGAAAAAAAAAGGTATCAATGTGACGTGATGAATGTGTTAGTTAGCTTGATTATGGTGACCATTTCACAGCATGTGTGTATATCAAATCATCATGCTGCACATCTATACGATTTTTATTTGTCAATTATACTTCAATAAAATGGGGGACGGGGAATCTCCAATTGCTGGATATAGACTTGTTTACTATAAAAAAAATGCTGTGAATACACTTGTAACTACTCTGTGCAGATCTATACTTTTTAAAGGGAAATTTCCCTAGAAATGGAATGAGTTGACCAAACACTAAGCACATTTTTTAATTTTATAAAATGTACTCCGGACTGTCTCCCTGTAAGATACTACAATATACCTAGCAACAGTGTATTTAGACCCATCATTTCTAATCACTCTCATCAACACTGGATTTGTATTTTTAAGTCTGTCATGTTGATACATGACAAACAGAATTTTTAAAATTTTCTTTCTTTGATTAACTAATAAAACTAAATCAGTTGTTTTATATGCTTAATGACCATTTCTGTTAACTCCTTGGTGACATATTTATTTATGTCACCATGGAAACTTGCCATTTTGAACCCTTTCAGGTGAATAATAAATATAAGAGTACAGTCCTTTACAGGATAGATGTGCACATTAAGATATTTAGGTTGTCAAATCTACTGACCTTTTTTTTGTGGTCTCTTCCTCTGCCTTTACATTTCATCTTTATTCAACAACTATTAAGTGGCCGGCCACCATGTGCCAGTTTTCTATATAAGGGATTCAGAAAGCTCTATCCCCCTAGAAAAACAATATATTTACCAAAAAATTTTACTAGGTCCATAATTTTTCTATTTAAATTGTAATGCATCTAGATTTTTTATTTTGATCTATGCTGATATCTGTGAGATGGATTTGTCTCAATTCCATTTATTGAATAAGATTTTCTCTCTACAATAATCTGAAACACTCCCTTATTACATACTAAATTCTTATGCACACTTAGATTTGTCTCTAAAGCTTAAATTAATTTAAATCAATTCCAGTTTAGAGGGAGGGTATAAATCAGTGGTAGAGTGCATGCTTAGCATGCATGAGGTCCTGGGGTTCAACCCCCAGTACCTCCATTAAAAAAGAAATAAACCTAATTACCTCCCCCCACAAAAAACAAAGCAAAACAAACAAAAAGAATCCAGTTTAAGTTTTGGTTTAAATCAACCTTAATATAAATAACATAGGCAATGAGTGTGTATATGTCCATGAATGACTGAAAAATTGTGCTGAACACTGGAATTTGACACATTGTAAAATGATTATAAATCAATAAAAAATGTTAAAAAATATATATATATAAATAACATAGGGCATTTAATTAAAAAAATCTATAATGCATATGATTTGTTTGCAATGAATTTATGGTTTATTAAGTTCAATCAATTAAAAATGGCATCAATACTATATGATGTGGGTTTAGAGCACATTCTTCCATAATATTCTGTTCAAAGTTTTTCTTTTTCTGCTCAGTCTCTTTACGGCCCTCTTGCTCGTACATCTGCCCCATTCTCCTTATTTATTCAGGCCCAGTGATTGATACTGACAAATGTTTCACTGAGTTCAGAAGAGACAGAAGTCTCTGGTGTGGAGAATCATCGAGGACTTCAGGAAGGAAGAGGGACTTCATAATGTCTCGGGGAGAAAATAAGGTAGATGTGAGCAGGGAAGCAATGAAATACTCCCTGGGCAAAGGGTAGGTTTGAGTGTGAGCCCAGGGGACAAAGCCATCCTGTAAAGGACTGTACTCTTATATTTATTATTCACCTGAAAGGGTTCAAAATGGCAAGTTTCCATATGTGCATAGGTTGATTCAAGCATAATGAATAATTTTGAAGGATACATACCAAAATGTGAATGGTAGTCATTTAAGAATGTAGGGTAATGGGTCATTTTACTCCTTATTTATATTCGCTTTATCTTTTTGATTGTAATTAAAATATTAATTTTTTAATAAAGTTTTTAAACGAACTATTTTTTGAAACAGATTTAAAGACACATACTACACAAAGTCATAGTGGTGATTAGGTTTAGCCTACTGTTAGCTCTTACACACTTACTATTGCTAATATCCATTACCAGATCTTCAAAAGCAAGCAAGCAAGCAAACTCCACAATTAGATCAATTAACCTTAGTTTCTCTATGACTATTAATAGAGTCTATTAGACTGACTAAAGCTGAAAACTCCTCGGTACTATAATCACATACTTAACTAATCCACAGAAAAGGTTCTGGAGCACTCCTGACATGGAACTCAGCAGAGCTGAGAGTCAATTATGACCTATCTTTAAAACCTTCATTTAAAGTCTGTAAATATAGCTCAAATGTTATGCTCTATAATTAGATGGCTTTGGCTCTTAAAATATATTGAAGCTATACTTAATCCATTTTCCTCACAGCTCTATCCATTAAAGACAAGTATAAATTCAGAACTTATTTGATTTATTTTAATCACTCTGTTTTCATGCAATCAAGAGCCAAGGCTCATGTACGGAGCCTAGATAACAGTGGAGGGGACCAGGCTGAAGAGCTCCTGAGCACAAGAGAAATGACTTAGCAGGAACGCTGGGGAGCAGGAGAGAGCTTGTACTCAGAGAGGTTCAGAACAGCAAGGAATGTGTCTAGAGGAGTTGGTAAAAATGTAGGTTCCTTTCCATCATTCACTTGCATAGCATACACATCCCAAATGTCCTGATTCAGCACTCATGGGAATCTGTGGTTTTTTATCGAGGTATAGTTGATGTAAAATATTATATGTTTCAGGTGTATAAAGTAGTGATTCACAATTTTTAAATGCTATACTCCATTTACAGTTATTATAAAATATTGGTTAGATTCCTTGTCCTGTACAATATCTCTCTGTAACTTACTTATTTTGTAAATTCGTACATTTGTGTATGGGTATATATATATATATATATATATATACTATTTATATATATATATATATATATACATTTTATACATTTGTATCTCTTAATCTCTTACCCCTATCTTGCCCCTCCCCTTTTCTCTCTCCCCACTGATAACCACTGGTTTGTTCTCTGTATCTGTGAGTCTGTTTCTTTTTTGTTATATTCACTAGTTTGTTTTATTTTTTAGATTGTCTGACTTATTTTGGTAGGCATAATACCCTCCAAGTCCATCCATGTTGTTGTAAATGGCAAAATTTCTTTTTTATGGCTGAGTAGTATTCCACTGTGTGTGTGTGTGTGTGTGTGTGTGTGTGTGTGTGTATCTCACATCTTCTTTATATTCATCTGTTGATGGACAGATGTGTGTGTGTGTATATATATATATATCTCACATCTTCTTTATATTCATCTGTTGACGGACACTTAGGTTGCTTCCATATCTTGGCTATTGGTAATAAGGAATCTGCATTTTTTTAACCCCTGATTCCTGCAACCCTAGAAATTTACAAACCACTCTAAGGATACAGAGAATAGACTGGTGGCTGCCAGAGGCAGGAGGTTGAAGGTGGGTGAAAGGGGTGAAGGGGGATCAAAAGGTACGAACTTCCAGTTACAGAATAAATAAGTCCTAGGCATGTCATGTACAGCATGGAGACTATAGTTAGCAATACTGTATTGTACATTTGAAAGTTGCTAAGAGAGTGAATCTTAAAAGCTCTCACCACAAGGGAAAAAAATGTGTAACTATGTGCAGTGATGGATATTAACTGGACTTATGGTGATCAATTCACAATATATATATATATAGAACTTCAAACTAAAACAGCATTACATGTCAATTATACCTCAATAAAAAGAAATACATACATACATACCTGCATACATACACACCTCTATAAGGCTAAGAAGAAGTGAGGAAGGCAGGATGTGTAACAACACTCATGAAATGCTTACTATACATCTTGTACCAGGCTGGGTCCAAAAAGTCTCGGTCTAACTGAGAAAGACGGGGAAAGGAGACGGACCAGATGTGGGCAATACCCGCCCATGACTCAAGCAGTTTACTGAAGATTTCATATAATGTAAACAAATCTTGCTTCTGTTCCGAAAAGAGACTAGAATTTAATTTGTATGTATTTCCCTTTATTTTACCTTTACCCGGAAAAAGCACTGGCATTGAGATTTTTTTAATAAAAGCTCTAATTTTTAAGTACCATGAACAGGCATCTTTTTTTAAAGTATTCCTTAAACTAGATGTATGGAAACATCCAATATAAAGATTATGCAAATATCAAACAGATTCCACTGGGGGAGGGGAAGATGGTGCTGGCTGAAAATAATGCCATTTGCACCAAGGCTGCTAATCAAAGATCCTGTCAGCATGAGTTTATTTCACAAGTCTTCTATGATAAGGTGATAGGATTTATTTTTCTCGTTTCTCAAATTTAACAGACGGCACTGGGGAAAGTTTGAGGGTGTACATCCCCACTGGGCTAGCAGAACATTTCTTCATTTCTGTCTTACGCCTCGTAGCTTATCACGCAGGGCGACCTGCTTTCACCTCCGGTTACCCCAGCCCTCTGCTCTGCCAGCTCTCCCTTCTCCCAGGAAAGATGGTTTGGGGGCTGCGAAATTGCAAGTCTATGACTCAGAAGCAGGCATGTGTAAGTCATTCACTTCTCAGGTTCTGCCAAAATCCTCAGCCCCTGGCAGCCCTATTCCCAGACCAGTCCCCGCTTGTAGGTTCAGCCCAGGTTTCTGGAATGAATCCTAAACCCTGGCAGGAGAATTTTAAGAATTTTAGGCCAATGATCTGAGACTCCCTCTCTCCTGGGTCCTCTCCCCAGGGTCCCAACCACATGCTGAGGGCATGTCAGGAACTAGGAGGCAGACTTTCAGACACTGTGACCTCCTTGCCAGGCTGGACTGGACTCATTTGTAACAGGCTGTCAGCCTGCTATGTGTCAGACTCAAACAGGATTTGTAATTCCTGCAATCGAGGGATTCAAGGCTAGACTGAAAAAGAAAAACAGCTGTATAAACAAATGATTATAAGAGAACACATATAAAGCTCTATGTAACTACAAGCACTATCCTGGAAGTACATGTGAAGAACACAAAGGAAGACTCCTCAGGATGCGTCTGGAAGAGCAGCGGAAGGCTTCACGGAGGAGGTGACGTGGGAGGAGAGGGAAAAGCACTGTAGACAGCTGGAACAGCAGCACATATGAAGACGTAAAAGTATTAGAAAATGGTACGCTTAGGGAGCAGAAAGGAGTGTGTGGACAGGAGTATATGGAATATCAAAGCCAGGTTAAGGAGTGAGTGAGCTGGCGGCTGCCAGGGGCCACGGGAAACTTGAATGGCCCTGGAACTACAATAAATAGAGACACTGTTATTTCCAAGTTCTCACTTAGGAAAGATCCTAGGAGAAGCTGATCAGCCAGAGCAGAACTGCCTGGAAAGACGCAAGATGCACTGAGAGCTGCCCCCGGCAGTCCCCACCATTCGGCCCTGGTGGGCTCGCCAGCCTCCACGGAACTGAAAACAGTACTCAACAGGATTGGTTTGAAGGCACCACGTGTTTAGCGGGTGTGTCAATATGTCCATCTCACTCAGTGGTACTTACCACAGTACTCAGGAATTATGCTGATGCGGTAATAACAATTCTAAGTCCCAACCTCAAGCGTTTTACATGAACCTAATGCATTCAGTCCTCATAACCACGCTGTGAGGTGGATACTATTGTCAGTCATCTCCCTATTTCGGGTGAAGCAGCAGAAGCACAGAGTGGTCAAACAACTTTCCAAAACTCACACAGCAAGGGTGGAACTGGGCTTTTAACCAAGGTGGATGGTTGAAGTCTTCACACTAAGGCATCATACGATTCTCATTTTGAGTTTTTACTTTATCCTCTGGGCAGTGGAGAGCTGGCAAGTTTAGGATTTTTTTAAGCCATAGAGCAATAATTGGTGTAAGAAGATCACTCTGGAGAAATTTCAGAAGATAGAACAGAGTTGGGAGAGTCTGAACCCAAACCAAGAATGGGGGCCACCTTCCTCGTCAGAGCAGGAGGTGGCACAGCCTTGTGTTTGCAGAGGAGGGGAAGACTGAAGGGTGTCAGAAGGCCAAATGGCCGAGATCTGGAAGCATGGCTAGTGAGTGGTGACAGAGATGGAAAAATCAAGGCTCTGATGTTCGAATAAATGAGTGAATAGTGTTTTCTTAGGGAAAGACTTGTTCCTGGTCATGTTGAGCTTGAGGCCCTGGGTGTGACCAGATAAAGGGACTCGGTGAGCAAGTAAAAGAGAGAAACAGAGCTACACGGAGACCGGGAGTTGGGGATAAGGTCTGGGAGACTCTGTATAAGTGACATCATTGAAGGTCCAAGGGGATGGAAAGCAAGGGAGAGAGTTGGGGCAGCAGAGGGGCCCTGAAGGCCAGCGTTTAAGCCAAGGCAGAAAAAGCAGGGAAAGAAAAAGAAACAGAGTAGTGATTTGAAAGGCAGCAGAAGAGGTAGGGGGAGTTGTGCAAAGCAAAGGAGGAAGAAGTTCTGGAAAAGAAGAAAAACTGCTGTGTGAAGTGCTACTGGCAGAGCTGATCAGATGTGCTGACAAAGGGCCTCTGAACAGGCTGGAAAGACTTTCTAAACCCCCCCACAACTGGCTTCCTCCCTCCTGTCCCCATCCCTACCCCCTACTCCCTACACGCCTGGCCAGTCCTAGGGGCAGGACTAACCTCCAGGCCCCAGGGGTTCCAGCCTTGGCTTTCACAGCTCCACTGAACCCTCCACAAGCTTTCACAGGACTCCTCTGTCCTCCACTAGGAGAGAGATACAGACATATTTCATGAAAACCATACATGTCCTCTACCTTTGTGTTTTGATCCACAATTTTCTTCAGGTTTTTCAGCAGATGATTATTTGGACCACCTTCTTTCTCATTAACATAAGCTATCCTGTCCAGGTCAGGAAAGTTCCGGTTCAGATCTATCCCCTGGGCATTGCTTCGACCCACGAACCAGTCCTTGAGCTCCCCGGGCTAAAAAACACCAGAGGAAAGTCATCAGTTCATTATCATTGCTACCGTTACTGAAGGTCTTCATTAATGATTCTTATAATAATTACTTCAGATTATTCATTTCAACAATCTCTTCCTACAAGGGCATTTTCGCTTTCTTACTGATACACACATGAAGGTATCAGGCTTAAAGTATTTGTCATGGATATTTTGATAATATTTTCAATGAATAATACTTTAAATATTAATGATTCTAATAATTCAAAGATATTTAACATCAAACTACAGAAACAGTCCGTATGAGTTAATTAATAATAAATGGTGCATCTCATAGCACACCACTGTGTACTTGGTTTAAGTAAAATACTCACTGCCTCTGAAATCCACAGCAATCTACTTTTAAATATTCAAAAGAATAGTTACTAAAGGTCAGATGCTTAAAATGAGTTTCACATAAATTATTTACATATTAATAATATATCTCTCTCAGAGTCTCTGTGAAAAAAAATATGAGCTCTAGAACTTTTGTTTCAACTTTGTAAGTTGAAAAATTTCTGTTCAATTTTAAACCCTTCATTTCACGAATGATAGAATCTGAAAATTTAATAAATTTCCTACATTCAAGTAAATTCCATAATGAAGATTTCCTTGTTTTGCTATTAAATTATACTAAATCTATAGTATAAATTCCCATATTCCTAAAGTCATGTAAGCTCAGATTGTGCAGAAAAAAATCTTAAATTGTGCAGAATAAAAACCTATAAGACAGAAAATAGCAATGATAATTTTGTGTTCATCCGGTCTTATAGATCTGAATATCACCTTAAAACAGTAAATAATTTCATTTTCTAAGTTACTGTAATTTATCGCTCACAACTTTAGAAATTATATGAATGTTGTATTTACAGAAATTCACTATCTCGGTTTCTTACAAGGCCAAACTATCAGGTTACTGTATCTTATATTTTTAAAGTGCAAATCAACTTCTTAACTGTAGATAACTTACTAAATACAGACTTTAATTTGTTCCCATAAGAAAATTATTTCAAATTGTAGCAAGAAATAAAATGTCCTCCACCCCTGTCCAAACAAAAAAGGAAGCACATATCATACATCTTCTCTGAAAACATCATTACTTTCCAGATTCTCTAACAGTAAAAATGTATCAAATTGGTTTTTGTTTAGAAGTAGGAGGGTTTTGTTGTTTTTTTTTTTACTTTATTCATCATATAAAAGCAAGGATTAAACAGTGAAACATTATGTAGCCAAAAATCTTTATTCCTTGGCTCCAGTAGAGGGCGCTATGACATTGCCTAATTCAGAGTCAACAAAGGCCTCACTCTTCACTACACGGCTGTAGGTTATTTTTTCAGACTTCCAGATTTTTAGGAAGAAATTTATCTAGTCGCAAAGGTGAATGAATAAATGTGATTTATTTAACAATGCAAATAAAGTATTAATTAAATATTGACTTAACAACAAAATTTCTCATTCGCAATCTCTGCTGAAGAAACCCGCCCAGCACCCCTTACCTTCGGAATTTTTTCCTTATCAGCAAATTGAATACCTCACCACTTACACTCTCTCCTGCACCCTGCCAGCTGCGTGTGCGCACATTCCTTACAGATGAGCACACAGATGAGACAGACGTAAAATAACGCGAGCGCCCTGCTGTGGGCCGCACCCACCTGGGATGCTGCCTTCTCAAAGCCGTCGGGGTTGAGGGAAGGCATGATGTGGATCCGCGTGTTGTGGATCAGCTGGACCACTGTCTCATTCCCCTTCTGGTATTCGTTGCACAGGTACTGCGCCAGGAAAATCAGCAGCTCCCGTCCGACCGCCTCATTGCCATGCATGTTCCCGATGTATTTAAATTCAGGCTCACCTAAAAGCCCAAAAATAGATAGCATGCAGACTCCATAGCACCAAACACAAGGCAAATGGCACACAGCGCAAAAAGCATTGTACAGTTACTAATCTATTACACACAGCTGGTAACTTCTTTGCCCTCCAGAATTGATGCCTAAGAAATCCACCTTAAAAATAAAATACTCCCAATGCCCCTTCGATCCTAATTCTCTCTCCCCAGCTTCCCACCCGTTACGCCCTGAATTGTGCCCTTCTCAGCCCCCAATTCATATATTGAAGCTCTAAGTTCCAACGTCACTGTATTTGGAGATAAGGCCTTTAAGGAGGTAATTAAAGTCAAATGAAGTCATAATCCAAAAGGTCTGTTGTCCTTATAAGAAAAGGAATAGACACCAAAAATCCCCCCCGCTTCCACCTCTGTCTGTCTGTCCCTCTCTCCACAAGCATGAAGAAAAGGCAATGTGAGTCCATAGAGAGCAGGCAGCTGCCTACAAGCCAGGAAGTGGGACCTCATCAGAAACCAATGCTGCTGGCACCTGGATCTTGGACTCCAGCTTCCAGAACCGTGAGAAAATAAATGCCTGTTGTGGTATTTTGTTATGGCAGCCCGAGCAGACAATCACACTGTTAGGTGGTTAGGTAAGTGGGGGCACCAGGCAGACAGGTACAGGTGAGGGAGGACAGTCCAGGAGATGGTGGTGTGCCCACCTCCAGCATAAAGAGGCTTTACTTCCTCTAAATGAGTGCCAGCCAGAAACCAGTTAGAACCTGACAGCCGCAGCTGTGTGGCAGCGACAAGGACCTAACCAGACATGACCCAGTGCTCATTATAATTACCACTGTGGTTTAGGCCCCCACCCCATGGATTTTTTCCTGTGTGCATCATGGGTAAGGACATGCAGAAAAGGGGACAAACATGACTGGGCACTCCAGGGGCAAGAGCTGTCAGTCAATCAAGAGACCACCTCCAAGCGAGAGTATAAGGGGAAAGGGCAAAGACCATCGCTACCCGCCCTTGGATCAGCCCGCCTCCCATTCTTGGAGGGGTACTTTCCCTTTGCTAATAAATCCTTTAAAATGTTTCACTACACAACACTTTACCTCCTGTCTGAATTCTTCTCTTTCCGGTGAGACAATAACTGGGGTCTTTTCCTTTCCCCTTTTGGGCTAACAATACCACCCCACCCCTAATAATTCATAACAATACATCATGTGCCTCCTATCAATTAAACACGGAACTTTCATGTTTTCTTACTTAGTCTTTGTCAAACATCTAAAAACAGGTATTAGCCATCTCTATTTTAAGGTGAGCAAACTGAAGTTCAGACGTGGAAGAGGCCAGGCCTCAGTCACGCAGCTAATGAAGCCAGGATTCAAATGCTGGCCTTCTCATCTAGTTAAAATTTATACTTTTTTTTTTCCCAACCATAGTGACTAAAAGCATTAACTTCTAGAGCCAGTCTTTGTGGTTCAAATCCTGGCACCAATTATCACTAGCTGGCCTCCAGTAGTTATTTTAGCTCTCTGTGGCTCTGTTTCCCCATCTATAAATGAGATACTAGATTCTACCGCAAAAAAGTTACAAGAACTAAGTAAAATAATGTGTGTAAATGCTTAGAACAGTGCCTGGCAAAAAAAAAAAGTGCTATATATTTGCTATCATTATTTTTCATATTACTTTTACATCATATTATCTTGTCATTACCACACATAATCTA